AATATTATGTCCTGATACTACTGTCCATTTGTGGGGCTTTTCCATCACTCAAAACAGAATAAAGTTTGAATTTCTAATGCAGTATTTAGGAATGTGACCCATATAAATAAAAGCTCTTTGGAGTTCTAGATACTCTTAAGAGTGTAAAGGGTCTTCCACAAACATTGGAGCTGTTGGCCTTGTGCTGGACCTCCACCTACAAAACTGGAAGAGATACAATTTCTTTTATGGATATGTAGGATTTAATTTAATTAACTATTAGGAGACATTAATAAGAGGTATTCTTTCCTCTTCACTTTAATTTTTAAACTCTGTACATATTTTTGTACATATTTTCAGGATGAAGCACTATCCTTAGAAGAAATAAGAACTAGAGTAGTACAAATTCTGGGATTCCTAGGAGGACAAATAAACAAAAATCTTGTAACAGGTAAGTTTTTTCCTAAAATAACCCTGTAGATAGATGCATTTGTACTTGGAGTTGAATGTGTGTCTGTTTACTTGTCACCAGCCTCTCCTGGCATGCTTCTGATGATTTTAGAATCACCTGGACAGTGATAGCTAGTATTTACAGCATTTTCCACATACTGTGCCCAAGTCAATATTATTGCCATTGTAGTAATGAACACCTGTTTGGACTACCATAGCATAGTGTTCTATTTCAGATTTCCTCAGAACTGATCAATTTCAATTTGCTGTGTCTGGTCATATTCAGAATCTGAAATCATATTCAGAATGCAGCACGTACTTTCTATTTCTCTTCCCTTAGAGAAGAATGAACTATGAAGCCCTGACTAGCTGGCCTGGACCATGCTATACAGACTAGTCAGGCTTCAAACTCACAAAGGCCTGTCTGTTTCTACCTCCTGAATAGTGGGATTGAGATGTGTGCTACCATGCTGGACTTTCAAAATCGTTTAATCTTTACAGGCACTATCTTCTGACTTAAGTGTAGGACAGCTCCCACCAACAGTAGCCACCATGGGAGAAAGCTAAACTTAATATTCTCATATTTTTAACTTTTTAAAAAATTTTATTTATTTTGCATGTTTTGCCTGAATGAAAGATGTATATGTACCACATTCATGCCTGGTGTCCATGGAGGTCAGAAGAGGGCATGTGATTCCCTGGAACTGGAGTTACAAATGGTTGTGAGGCATCATGTGGGTGCTGGGAACCAAACACAGGTCCTCTGCAAGAGCAACAAGTGCTGCTTTGAACCACTGAGCCCTCTCTCCAGTGATAAACTTAACATTTTAATATGTGAATATTTTAGAGTGTTTTTGTATTAGAAAAACTCAGCTGATTTTGCTTTTGAGGTTTAGTGTTAACTGGAAATTTTTAGGTATTTAGGAAGTTAGAACCTATACTTAGAAAGTATTTTCAGGAGGAATTTTGGTGGTACATGTATATGTGGAGGCCAGAGGTTGATGTCAGGGGTCTTCCTTGATCACTCACTACCTTATTCTCTGAGGTGGAATCTCAGGTCAATGAAGGACTCACCTGTACTAGCCAGCTTGTTCCAGGTATCTGTCAATACTGGGATTATAAGTAGCCTGCCATTTGCACCCAATATTTACATGTAGGCTTGCAATCTGATCTTTGGTTCTCATGCTTGTATGGAAAACACTTTATCCACTGAACCATCTTCATAGTCCCTTTAAAAGAAGAGATTTGTTTTTGCTTTGTTTTTTTGTTTGTTTGTTTTGGGGTTTTTTTGAGAAAAGGTCTTAGGTGGTCTTGGCTGGCATGGAATTCATAGGGATCCCACTGCTTCTGCCTTCCAAGTGCTAGAATTAAAGATGTATACCCCTACACCTGGCAAAGAGAAGCCTTTGTTTTGTTTTGTTTTGTTTTGTTTTAATTGTACTTACTTTCTGTCATTTGTTTTAAGTAGCTCTGACTGAATTTGGATGTTCCTATTGAACAACAGTTTTAGTTAAGTTAAATTTAGAAATAAGAACCATCAGTGATTTTAATATTCTTTCATACCTGAAGCAGAAAAAAGGAAATATAAAATGCTTTAAAAGTATCCTAATTTAGCTAATGAGCTGTAAGAGGAAAGATCTTGAATGAAAAGCAGTCTTGTAACATTTTCCATCAGCTGCATCAGGAGAAAGGATGAAGAAGTGTGTGGCGTGGGACAAGGAGAAGAGGCTCTGCTATGCAGTACCTTTCAGAGAGATGAAGCCTGTCCTCTATCTGGATGTCTTTCTGCCTCGGGTCACTGAATTGGCTCTTTCTGCTAGTGACCGACAAACTAAAGTATTTTTTCCCCTATCATTCATTCTTTATAGTGTATTGCTTTAAAAACATGTATGTGTTGGTTAGGAAACAGACATTATATTTTAGCTATTCTATTATCATTACTTTCGAAATGTTTTGGAAGTAGGTGTCATTGATAAATGAAAGTTAAGTATAAATTATTGAAATAATAAACTGGCAAAGCATTCAAAACCAGAAGTTCTTTGTAATAGAAAATGCAATGCAAAGTATATTTAAAGATGAAACTTGGTAGGAGTTTGATTATCCCCATAACCTGGGAGGTTGGAGACAGATAATCTCAAATGTTAACACTAACTTGTAAACTTCTAATGTCTTCTTAGCTACTCAAGTGATATTTACAAATGAAGCCAGGATATATAGTTCTAAACTGTATGAAATATATTTCTTCTGAATGTATCACCTTCAGAGTCTGAAATTTTTAAATTTCAATTCTTAATTCTTGGATAAAGATTAAAGTGAACAGAAGCATTCACTTGATATCAAAAACACTATTTCCATTTTTTAAAATTGGAATATATAGTATTTACCCACAATACAAGTTTTTCCTCTTAAATGGCTAAAGTAAGAAAAAACTTCAAAATATTCCCTTGTAAATATGATAATCAAGCTTTGTTGAATGTTCCCTCATAGGTGGCAGCTTGTGAACTTTTACACAGCATGGTTATGTTCATGTTGGGAAGAGCCTCTCAGATGCCTGAAGGTCAGGAGTGGCCTCCCATGTACCAGCTCTACAAGCACACGTTTCCTGTGCTGCTTCAACTTGCATGTGATGTGGATCAAGTAAGTGCATGATTAGGATCTTAACAATTGCAAAACTACAAAAAGAATATGATCTCAAGCTGGGCATGATAGTATACTCCTGTAATCCCAGAGTTGGAAAGAGACAGGAAGATTGCAGCAAGAGTGAGGCCAGCCCACCAATGAATGAATGAATGAATGAATGAATGAATGAATGAATGAATGAATGAGAATGTGGTCTCTTTGGAAGTCACTGCTGCCTGCCTGCCACCCTCAACTGTCAGAGTTACTTGGTCCAGTGACCTGGGGATTGGAACACTTTTTAAATTACATTTTAATATTTTTTTTGGTGGGGAGACAGGTTTCTGTACAGCGTTTCTCTATATATAGCCCTGGCTATTCTGGAACTCTGTAGACCACGCTAGGCTCAAACTCACAGAGATCTGCCTGCCTCTTCCTCTTACCTCTGCCTCTTGCCTCCTAAGATTTGCTAGGATTAAAGGCGTGAGCCACCACCTCTTGACTACACTCAAATCTACTCTCTTTCTATCTCGTATTAAAAAGTAGCATCTAAAAAACAGTAACAAAATAAAGTTAAAACAAGCTAACCAGAATAGGACCAAACAAACAGGAAAAAAAAAAAGAGCCAAAGAAAAGGCACAGGAAACACAGATACAGAAACAGACTCATAGAAATCCTATAAAAACAAAATAAAAAAGCATAATATATAAGCTATTTTGTGTTGGCCATCTATTGCTGGAGCTTGGGGCCTGCCTTTAAATGTGATTTGTATACCAAGAGAAACTCCATTGGAGGAAACTAATTTTTCCCTTGTGAGCAGTTATCAATTAGATATGACATGAGTTAGGGATGGGGCTTTGTGTCGTCTCTCCTCTCTCACTGTTGGGAACTCATCGGACTTACATTCATTTAGGCCCTGTTCTTGTTGCTACAGTCCCTGTAAATTCCTGTGTGTATCAGTCTTGTGTCCGGAAGGCCTTGTTTCCTTAGTGTTTTCATAGCCTCTGATTCCTAAACTCTTCCCACCTCCTCTTCACAGTTCCTGAGCTCTGAGGGGAAAGCTTTGATGGAGACATACTATGTAGAACTTACTGTTCCAAGATCTTTCACTCTCTATACCATGTCCAGTTGTAGGTCTCCTATATTTGTTCCCATCTACTGCAGGAGGAAGCTTCTCTGGTAATGGCTGAGCAAGACATTAATCTATGAGTATAACATAATGTCGTTAGGAATCATTTTATAGCTACATTCCTTTAGCAGAACAATATAATACTTGGTTTTCCCCTAGGTCCCTGGCCTATCTATTTTCAGGTTCTCAGCTCCCTGAGCAGTGTCATGAATGAGTTGCATCTCATGAGTGGGCAATACAATCAGATAATGGTTGGTTACTCCTACAATTCTTGTGCACTGTTATACCACTATATTTTGTGAGCAGGTCACCATTGTAGATTGAGGGGTTTGTAGCTGGGTTGGTATTTACTGTTCTCCTCTGGTGATGTGCAGAATATCTTTCAATACCATGAACATTTGTCTGTAGGGTTGAAGGTAGGTGGACACCAGTTCTACTTTTCCATGTTCAATGAGTTATGTAGGTGTTGTCTTCAGCAACAGGGCCTTATCATCCGTTTGTGAAGGGCAACCAATAACCTTGTCAATAACCTGGGTTGTTTGTGGGTTTTCAGGACCCCTTTGGCCAATGACTCTTTTGGATGTAATTAATTCCCAGTACTAGAAGCTTCATATGGTGACAAGACAGTATGTCCAGCTGGGACTCTGTTTCCCTTGTTATTTGGCAATTTCATTTAAATTGTCTTCATATATGTATGTATTTTAGGAAGCTACTACTGTGTTAGGTTTCCATATGACCCCTCAAATACTCTTTGTTTTAGCTGTCCCTCACTGTATTCCCTCCTATTTGATCCTCCCATTCTAGTCAACTCCCCTCGTCCCTGGTCCATCCATAGCTGGACTCTATTTCCCCTTCCTATGGAGATCCTTCCTTCCTTCTCCCCAGTCCTTTACACTGTATTTAAACACTGTGGTTCTTTGTACTGTAGCCTGCTTATTAAGGACTTAATAGCTAGCATCTGTGTATAAGAGAATACATACCGTATTTGTTCTTTTCAGTCTGGGTTACCTCACTCAGGATGATTTTTTTTCTAGCTTCATCCATTTACTTGTGAATTTCGTTTCTTTCTTTAAAAAAACAAACAAACAAAAAACTCAGCTTAGTAGTATTCCATTGTGTAAATGTACCAGATTGCACCAGATTTTCTTTCTTTTTCTTCCTCCTCTTTCCTTTCCTTCCTCCCTCCCCCCCCCCCCCCCCCCCCCCCCCCCCCCCCCCCCCCCCCCCCCCCCCCCCCCCCCCCCCCCCCCCCCCCCCCTCTCTCTCTCTCTCTCTCTCTCTCTTTTAATTATTTGTTTGTTCTCGAGACAGAGTATCCCTATGTAGCTCTGGCTTTCCTAGAACTCACTCTGGAGACCAGACTGGCCTCACACTATGAGATTAACCTATCTTCGCCTCTCAAGTGCTGGAATTAAAGGCATACACCATTACTGCCTGGCATTGTATCACATTTTCTTTATCCATTCATCTGTTGATGAACATCTAGGTTGTTGCCAATTTCTGACTGTAATTCTGGCAGTTAGACTAGAGTGGCAGGTAACATGTGTGAGCAAGTATTTCTGTAGTAAGATTTGAGACCTTTGGGTATATGCCTCGGAGTGGTATAGCTGAATTTTGGGGCAGATATATTCCCAGCTTCCTGAGGAACTACCACACTGATATTTATAGTGACGGTACAAGTTTGCACTCCACCAGCAGTGGATAAGTGTTCTCCTTATTCCACATCCTTGCCAGCATGAGCTATCATTTATTTTATTGATTTTAGCCATTCTAACAGGTGTAAAATGAAATCTCAAGGCAGTTTGGATTTGCATTTCCCCGATGACCTGGAATGTTGAACATTCCTTTTAAGTGTTTCTCAGCCATTTGTGTTTTATCTTTTGAGAACTCTATTTAGATCTGTAACCCATTTTGAAATTGGCTTGTTTTCTTGACATCAAGCTTTTTAGTTCTTTAGTATTTTATATGTTAGCCTTCTGTTAGATGTGTAGTTAATAAAAATCTTTTCCCATTCTGTAGACTGCCACTTTATCTAAATGCTTTTGCCCTTTGCCATACAAAAGCTTTTCAGTTTTATGAGTTTCCATTTATTAATTGTTGTTCTTAGTGCCTGTGTTATCAGTGTTCTGTTTAGAAAACCTTTTCCTGCACCAGTGAGTTCAAGACTGCCCCCCACTTTCTGGCCTTATGTTGAAGTTTTTGATCCATTTGGAAATGAATTTTTTTAAGGTGATAAATATGGATCTCTTTGCATTCTTCTACATGCAGCCATTCAGTTTGACCAGCACCATCTGTTACAGATGCTGTCCTTATTCCAGTGTGTATTTCTGGCTTCTTTATTAAAAAAAAAAAAAAAAAAAAAAAAAAAAAAAATCTTGTGTCCATATCTGGGTCTTTAATTCAGTTGTATTGATCACTGTGTCTGTTTTGATGCCAGTACCATGCTGTATATATTACTATAGTTCTGTAGTACTGATTGAGAATGGAGATGGTGATATCTCTAGCAGTTCTTTTATTAGTCAGGA